TGTCCAGTCACTTGTTATAGCAATAAAAGATTTTTTTTGATAGTCTGAAATATGACTTAGAAATTTTAAGTTAGAACTAAAATAGGAAATGAAGATTGGAACTAGATGATCTTCAAGGTCCCCTTCCAACCCAAACTGTGAGGGAAAACTAAGACAGCTGTCAGCACACCTCGCTTATTTAGACAAGAAAGAGTTTAAAAACAGCCTAGGATATTTCCAAATACATTTGCTGTTACAGAAGATAAATATCAATAGATGAAGAGAGCACAAAAGGAAAATTATATCCAGATAAGAGTGATTTTTTTTACTTCCACAAACTTATAAATTAGAAGTGCATCTGGAAAACATTAAGTGCCATCAGACATGGTACTTGAATCTTGTAATATTTACAGGAAGTTCTCAGATGAATGAATCAGCTTCTCGTGTAATTAATCAAATTAATTCTTCACTGGGAGTACGCAACACTGAACTATTTAGCTAGATATAAATAGCAGCCTTATGAGTTTCATTTGACTCTTACTCACTGTTGCATGTTAAAAGGTGTACATTAATGATTCTCACAATCTGGTTTTGTTTACACACTCAAAAGACAATAGCTAGGAAATTAAAACAAAATACATTTTGCCTTCTATTGAAAACTGTTAGGGAAGTGAAGGGAAAACATCAGTAGTGATTGCTGATCGGTTTCTAGTAAAACAAGGCTGGAACGAGTTAAGTTTCACATATCTGTGTGTTTTGCCAGTGATGTAGTGGAGTCAAGGTTTTACACAAAGAGGAGCCAGGGCTCTTTCTTATGTGTATGTATAACTTACATAAGTAAGTATATACATTATATACTTAAAAAGTATCCTTATTTTGTGGTATGTGTGGGTGACACATGTAGGTGGCTTTCTATGAAAGCAGCATTAAATTCATTCCATGCGATCAAAGCAATGAATATGTTATCCCAGTTCTAGCAAAATACAGAGGAAAACACTATGTCATATCTCAGGTAACTTTTCAGCAACCAAATGTTGGCATGATTTGCCTTTACCAACATGTTCTAACTTTGTAGCTACTCCTGCTTTGAGAAGGGGTGTTGGCCTAGGGTTCAGGAAAGGAGTCCAGGGGTCCCTTCCAACCTAAATTATACACTGATTCTGTTTACAAATCTTCATCTGCACTATCATTACACCAAAACATAACTGCCCACAAATATGTAAACCATCTGTTCCATTTCTCTGATTTCTGTTAGAATTAGTGCATCTTTAATTATAATCTTGTTCGTTACAAGCGTCTTTAGATTGCATATGTACTCAATAACAGGTGTTTTGATTCAGGTGCCATTAGGCAATGACTAACTGTTGTCTAATGATGACGTTTAAAATGGGGGAATACTGCTTGAGGATCTTTGGAATTGGAAATATGTTTGTTGAGCTCCCCTTCCAATTTAGACTGGTCCATTCTGCCAAGTGATGGTGCAACTTAAAGGATTAGATAACAATGTGGAAAACAATATGCCAAAGGAGGTAAATCCTTTTTTATTGTATCTATTTTGACATTACATCCTAGCAATTACTTTTAATGTTTGGATTTGGATTCATTATTTGTACTCATAATAATAGCTAAGTTGGCATTCACTAGGTTTACTTTACTTGTTCGGTAGTCACATTATATTTTGTGTGTTTACCTACAACCAGCTTTGTCTCAGTAGCAGAGCCTCATTTGCCTATTGAACTATTGTCTTTATAATCTCAAACGGATTTTTACAATGTATCTTGCTGCATCTGTGTCTAGTAACTACATCAGGAGTTTGCTAGGATGTTTAAATAGGAAGATACTCTACATAGCAAGTTATTTCACTTTATAACTTAACTGTGTTTTATTCTCTACTTGGTGTCCTGTATCTAGATCCAGCAAAAGACTTGAACACTCAATGGTGTTTAATTTTCAGCCTATGAAGTGGAATCCATACACCTGAGTCAGATGCTTATGTTCCTTATACTATACATGAGAGAATAACGCAAAAATATGTGTTTCATCTGTTTGGTAGTTGTCATTAGTAATCAGGAGAATGCTGATTGCACAGTCTAGCTAGCCAGTGCCATGCTTCAAGAGCTACAGACCTTAGGAAGTGAACACAGGCAGTGTCAAGAAGGGGTCACACACATTCTCAGTACAGTCACACTAACAGTACTACTGATAATAGCAGGGGTGGCAGACTCCTTCCTGCCTGTGAGAAAAAATGAGCTGGCATCATCTCTGTGATGCTGCTACAACGATCAGTCAAACCCTTCAGCCTACAAACCCTACCGAAACAACCCTTTTCTATAGAACTCTGAGGAGCTCATAGGAGGAAAGGCAAAGACTAAACCTGTGGTTCTCCTTTGTTTCCTGTAGGGAAATCCATACGTGCAAAGCTTTCTGAAAGTTTGTAAATCCTGTAACCGGGAAAAATCTTTGTAAAAATCTTGGGATTTGGTTTAGGTTTTTTGTTTTCTTCCAGTGGTGCTGGCATCCCACAGCAGCTCCTACCGGTCAGTGCATCCTCATGTGACAGGTTTCAGCAGAGCTGTGACAGCATCAGGGGATTCCTTGCAGAAACACACGGAGAAGTCTCTAGCAGTATGCAGTGCTTGTGGGCTGGATGCCTCTATAATTGTGGGATCAGCTCTGTGCAGGTCTCCTGCCATTCCAGTCGTTTCCACACCATCCACACTAGTTAAAACTGTGGTGAGTGCACAGGCAATACTTCTGGAGGAGCCTCTCCCCTTCCACTATCGTGCCCAATATGTGTACCCAAGGTGAGTGTCGGTTGCTTATATTTAGGAGCGTAAGGGAACTGGCCCCTTCAGAGCCTAAAGCCCTTGCAGTGTCACATGTGCTGTGTCTTCTTTCCCTGTGCTTTGGGTAGACCATACCTAATATTACATTTACTCCCTGTTTACAGCAGTTTATCTCCTTCTTTAATTAATGTTACAAAACCCTCGGAGAAAAGGTAAGGAAAGCTTCACTGTGTATGCCCCCAGGCACAAAATTGACACACCTTAACTTTTTGCTTATAGAGCACTAAAAAAAAGGATCATTTTATATTAGGGCTCATGTTCAGAATATTATGTTTTATAAAAAATAGGTCATCATGACAAACTTATTTAAACTGAGGGGAAAAAACCCCCAAGCTCTTCAGACTTTTCTAATCTTTCAGATGACTGAAAAAAAATACTAGAGTTACACAAGTCATACTGTTGGGTCAGCAACGCACAAATTTAATAAAATGCGAGTCTTTATGTGAACCCCACGAAAAGTCAGTAATAACTGCAGTCAGTTTCCGAATTCCTTAACACTCCTTCAGCAGCAGTGGCCGCTGCGTGACATCTGGTGGCCATAAGGCGGCATGGCCAGAACACGGCACTACTGAAACTGCAGCGTGTGCCACCCTACCAGGTAAACCCACAGCGTATCAGCTCTCCTCCAAGTGGGCCAAACGCCCGCTGTAATAACTGTTGCTGCGGTTGTGCGTTTTGCCACGGAACAGCCCAGCTTCGACTACTGCTAGTGTGTGGCACACTAGGATCCACATCTTCCTTGGATTTACGATGTTCCCTCCCACCTGAAAAGTTCTGTCCTTCCTGTGCACTCCTACAACTGTAGGACATGGAGATGGGGATTTGCTGAGTGACAGAATTGTGGGAGATATTCTTTAAAATGCAGAGGTGGAATTCACTGTGAACTTGGCCCTACTGTGGCAATAAAAACCATTCCAGAATGATGCTTTGGTATGTAACAGATGTCACTGGTGGCAGCAGGTACTCCTCATCCTCCAGTGACTGTGCTATAAAATCACAGAATCACAGAACATTAAGGGTTGGAAAGGACCTTTAAGATCACCTAGTCCCAACCTCCCTGCCACAGGCAGGGACACCTCCTACCGGACCAGGTTGCTCAAGGCCTTATCCAACCTGGCCTTGAACACCTCCAGGGTTAGGGCATCCACAAGCTCCCTGGGCAACCTGTTCCAATGTCTCACCATCCTCGCAGTAAAGCATTTCTTTCTAATATCTAACCTAAATTTCCCCTCTTCCAGTTTGTACCCATTACTCCTTGTTCTATCACTAAAGTTGCTGCTGAAGAGTCCCTCTCCGGCTTCCCTGCAGGCCCCCTTCAGATACTGGAAAGTTGCTATGGGGTCTCCACACAACCTTCTCCAGGCTGAACAGCCCCAACTTTCTCAACCTGTCTTCATAGGGTAGGTGCTCCAGTCCTCTCAACTTCATGGCCCTCCTCTGGACTTGCTCCATCTATCAGGGTGGATAAGATCTATTACACAAAGAATAACACAATATCCCGAGTTGGAAGGGACCCACAAGGATCGTGGAGTCCAGCTCCTGGCCCTGCACAGCACAGCTTCAAGGATCACAACCTGCGCCTGAGGGCCTTGTCCAAACGCTTCATAAACTCTGTCAGGCTTGGTGCTGTGACCACTTCCCTGGAGAAACAGGAGAAGATAACAATTGGGTAAGAGAGAGCAGAGAGATCAAGTGCTCAAAATCCTCAAGTGCTCAAAATCCTCAGACGCGCGGCTTATCGACTGAGCGACCCCGTCGCCGCCGCCTCAGGACCGGGACCGGCACAGCTGCAGCCCGGAGACCTCCCGTCTTCGGCGCTGCCGCTGCAGCATCACCAGCACACTGGGGGCGGCGGGAGACCGACTCCCAGACCGACTCCAGGATGGACTCCGGGACGTACCTTCCCGCCGGGCCCTCCCTCCCCACCCCGCCGCTTCCGGCTTCTGGCGCTGGCGGGGGCGGGGCCGCGAGCCGGGCGGAAGCCGCGCGGCGGACGGCGCGTGCGCGTGGGGGCGTGGCCGCGGCGGGGGCGTGGCAGCAGATCGGTTCCTGCCCCGCGCGCGGGCGAGCGGGTGTCGCCGGTCGCGACAGAGGTAACGGCCGCGCCCACGCCCACGCACGGCGCCCCCCGGCCTCGCCCGCGACCGCCCCTGGGCCCTGCCGCTGCCCGGGGACAGCACGCCCGGCGCTGTCGCCGCGGCGCTCCCGCACGGCGGGAGCACCGCTGATTCACCTCGGGCGGCCGCCGGCAGGGAGGGAGGGAGGCAGGCGGACAGACAGACCGACAGACCCTGCGGGGCCCGGCCGGACCGTCCCCCGAGTTGCTGTCGGGGCGGCCCCGGGGCTTGGGCGGCGCTGGGCGATGCTGGGGCCCGTCTTGCGGCCTCGGTGACCCCCGGGCCGGTCCCGGTCCCGGCCCCGGCGGCGGGAGGCCGGGCTCGTGTCGGTGTTCCCGCCCTGTCTGCGGATACGGGCTCTGCCGGCTGCCGGGGCACCGGGGCCTCGGCGGGTGCGGGAGCTGCGGGGTCACTACGGGGCGGTGACGGGAAAGGTCCCTTTGGCTCTGCGGCTGGCGTGTGATGCAGCCTTAGGAAGTGCTAATTTACTCCTTATCCACCATGTGTTTGTAGTTGGGAACTTAATTCATCCCGTTCTTTTTACCAAGTGATGCGTTTAATGCCCCGGTGACAGCGTTGATCACGTCTGCAGGAGCGTAGTTATGGAGGAGCCTTAAATAAGATTGCTTTTTATTCACAGTCGTGCTGACTTGTTTTTTTTTGGGGGGGGAAATGGGTTACAGTTTTAGCTGAAGAAACAAACTGGTCTACATGTGCTTCACTGTCCATTGGAAGAATGACAGATGACAAAGATGTACTTAGAGATGTGTGGTTTGGGCGAATACCGACCTGTTTCACTTTGTATCAGGATGAGATAACTGAGAGGGAAGCTGAACCTTACTATGTGAGTATGACAAAGGTAGTCACAAATAGTCCAATGCCATGGTTATGTTTGTTTCCTTCATTCTCATTGTGTGTTATGAAAAAACACAATTTTTTTTTCCTATTCCTGGTACCTTCTGAAAGTAAACATATAACCATGCTGTGTGATTTGTTTCTCTTCACAGCAGATTGAAAACTTCAATCTTGTTTCACTAGTGAGGGAAACTTACCACAGGTCATTAAGATCTTTTAAAAAAATTATGTAAAAGTCAAATATTAAGGTAAAAGGAGGCTCTACATGAGTTTGTGTGTTCTTGGATAGTGACCAGAAGGGAGAGAACTTTTATGTTATCTTAATATGAAAATACTCAGTCAGAGCGTTATGAAATCCTAAACACTAAGATTGGTCACCTGTGTAACACAAACTCAAAATGACCACTGGCTCCAGTATTTCTGCTCATGGATGACTTCTGCTTATTTTCTTTTATTTAAATGCCAGCAGCCATGAGAGATCTACCTCAACAGTAAGAAAAGCAAGTAGAATGATTTAACAGAACAGTGCCTGAACTGGATTGCTAGCTGATGATAAAAATGAGGATGATGGATATATTTGAGTTGTAAGCTGGAAGTGCCTTCTATAGTCACGTGGTATTTATTTATACTGTACTCATCAGTTTTCATTCTTTCAGCACCTAATAGACATTTGATTCATAGAGAATGTTAGCTGATTCAGTGAAACTTAAATTTGAAATGTAACAAGTGCATGGAAGGAATATCCTGAATTACAAGTTTTTATGTGATTCTGAATTTCTTAAGTCTTATAATATCCCATTATACACTGAGTAGAACTTTTTTTCTGTGTTCAATAGCATCTTTGTGTCATCAGTTTCTGATTTACTGAGTCAGAAATGTGTATTTATTTGTGTTTTGAAATGTAATAAACCATAATTGCTTTTTGTTCCGTGATAATAGTGCTCATCTTTCTATATTTTAGTTTTACCGCTGGTAAAAGATAAACACTTTTACATCATAACTAGCTACTTTACTTCTGAGCTACCTCGAAGTCTCCCACTTTAAATTATATATATGTGAGTTAAAGTATATGTGCCTGCATTGTGTAGGAGCTACTTGAAAGGTATGAGTTTAAATATAGAGATGCACAATCTCAATCTGTTTAACATCAGCATGGAAACTCTGAAACCATGTTATCTTCATGGTGTGGCCATGAAGATAGGCCAAGGAGATAGTTTTAAGCTGGTAGGGTTTCTTTTATTTACTCCGCTTAAACTGTGCACAAAAATTCTCAATGCTTAATTCTTTATTTCTGCAAAATATGATTATTCTCACATAACGATTCTAGAATTTTAGTTTCTTCATTTTTCAGGTCATGTTGGAGCTAATAGTATAGCTTTGCTTCTTGAAAGGACCAAGGAGTGATGCATATATGCATCACCTTATGACACTGCATGGGGGTTGGAGAAGTAATTTAAAAATAACTTGTCTATCTTTTGGAAAGAGTAATCACATAAAGACTAGGCAGCTCTGGTAAAACACTGTCCTGTTGCTATAGTCAAATCAGGTAGGTTTCTGCAGAGTTACACTGGAAATGGATATTTTGATTTTCTTTGGAGTGTTTCCTACAGATGCTTGTTTTGAGTGGAAGTGTATTTAGGAATAGTTAGGTTGAACTACTTTTTACTGCTGATCTATCTGATTTTTCCCTTGTCCTAAAGTTGTTATGAATTTTATTTTAAAATTATATACTATTTGCCTCTTTGTGCAAACAACAAGAAGAAAGAAAATGTATACAGGAAGCATAGCATTTATTGGCTGAGAATTGTCCAGTGTATAAGGAACAAAATTACAGCAGAAGACAGTCTTAAAATGATGTTCTGCTGAAGGGTCTAGTCTTTAACAGGGCCACTCTTTTAGCTTCCTCGATGTCAAAAGTGTTGTTTTGTTAAGGTGTCTGTAAGAGTGAGCAACGTGAAGCCATTCTGTGTTAGAATGCTTTGTTTCATCTTCCTGGACACTTCGCTGATCAGACCAGTCCAGTTCCTGTTAAGTCTGTGATTTTTCTGTTTTACAGGGTTTTGCACGTAAAATACTGTTTTGCTTTACAATAAAACCTGTGGAGATATCTGGAGAGGTGCTCTTTTTACACAATGATATACTGCAAACATTTACTTAGGCATTAGGAGTTCTTTGTATGTCATTTATCCTCCCGGTTCATAAGAAAACATTTCTGGTTATTGTGACTAAATACTGTAGCAATATACAATATGCAAAAGGAAGGTGGTGTTGCCGTTTGTGGAATTCTAGGGATGGCATGTTCTAGCCTACTAGGATTTATTATGCCTGCTAATGTATTTGGAGATTTACTTTTGGTTTTTTAATTTAATAAGGAGAACTTCTAATCTTATTTGTTATCTTTCTGCTGGTGGAGAAGGGATATTAAAAGGTAACAAAATGAACATGTTTTTAAACTATGCTTTTAAAGATCTCAACGGATTTAGTATACTTGTAAATCTCTAAGATAATTAAAGCTAGAAAAGTGATAGAATTGGATCCTTCCATTTTTCCCATGGAAGGGGAAGACTGTAAGAAGGTAAAAGAGGTGGGAAGACCAAAAAAAGAGTTCAGTGGGTTCTGCAAATGCTCAGTCCCTGTTAATCTGATCAACTCTTGGGTTTTGTACTTCAGAGAGGCCTTTGAGGAGTGCTGGCCACATTCTAAGTTCAGCTAAATGCTGAATGGGTTGTCTGTGATCTCTAATTGTGTTGAAATCAAAACTGCATTGTTCTTTCACACTACAAACTAAAGTAAACTATTTTACAGAGGAAGTTACACAGTTTAGATGGTTATGTCAAACACTGTTGCAATAAATAATGCTTTAATATATTTATCTATTCCAGCATGGCTGTGCCACATGCAGCATGCTGAAAATTGGCTTTTGTAACAGTCCAAATAAGTCTCATCAGAATACACCAGCATTGATTTAATTGTAAATATCACACAGAAATAATACAAAATGGCTACCAAAAATATGATTGGGATAACCTGGACTTTATTCTCTCAGGAACAATCAGTGGATATGTGGAATAGGTTAATAAAGGATAAGATTATATTGTTGTTCAAGTCATTGAAGTACCAAACAATTCTCACTTGAGTGTGTACATGACTCTGTTGAATTTATTGAGTTTATTTACCTTTTAAAAATGAAGTCTGTGTTTTGATTACCTTGCTGAATTAGACTCCTATGAAACAAGGGAGAAACAATACGATGATGGTATTAAAAGCGAAGCTGGATAAAGAAAACCTTCTACTACGTAGAAGATTGAGTGTTAACTGACATGATGACTGTGATGGTGGTGAGGCTTGATCTTATGTAGTTTTATATAATCGTAAAATTTAGGTGTATCACAGATGTAACCTAATGTAGCATTATGTAAAAAAACCAATCAGTTCTCTTCTTATAAGAACTTGATTGACTCTCCATACTTCTTTACGAATCTGATATTTATAAATTATAATATCATGGCCAAAATATTATCTAATTTATATATTAAAGTGTGGTCTAACTTGGAGAAATTCTGGAAGAATGTTGCAGCAGAGATCAAATTTTCCATCAGGCAAATATATCCTTATATGGTTTGGGATGTGTGTACCACAGACGTTCACTTAGGTCTAGCATTATTCATATACTATAAAGAAAATACTTTAGGAAGCAACACTGGTTATGAGGAACACTGGAAAACAAATGTTTCTCTAAATATGCAAGATATAATTTACGTGTTCCTTAGGTCTATCTATTTTTATTAATAATTATGAAGCAAAACTTTACAGGATGAATACTGTTAATTTAAAATGTCTGTTCTACAGCTAATGGTGATTTTACAGGGAGGTTAATCTTTTCTCATTGGGACACTGAAATGCATTGTTTGTTAGTGCTTACAGACTGAATTATCTGAAGTAAATGTGCCACACAGTTGTCAGTTAGAGCACTGATTGATGCAGTCTGCTTAACCACTCTTATTAGGCACGAGATTTTTAAAAAACAGAGAGGGGAGGAGGTTGCAAATAAAATAGCACAGCATTCTGATTTGAATAGTGTATAATGGTACACTTGAGAAAAAAAGGTAGTATATGAGAATGCTGTAAGAAGGTATCTTGTTTCAACCGATAAAATATTTACAGTTATCTTTCTGATTTTAGTTGCAGGGCGAAGGTTAAATAGTGGAAGAGTCATAGTAGCCTTGACTAATATGTCAAATTGGCAAACCCAGTGCAAAGAAAATGGAAATTGCCAGCTATTGAAGTATAAAACACTGGAAAATCAAACCCTTAAGCAGCTAGTTTTCAATCTTTTTTTTCTTCCTTGTATTTGAATTTCCATTTTGAAGTAATAGCAGATACACAGTTGCTCATTGTATACAGTATAACTTCTATATTCTAAGAAGTTAGAATCTCTTCTTATGTGTTCATATGAAAAAGGTTTAAGACTTCATTATTTAGCCTGCTTAAATACAGAAAAGTGGAAATGGAATTCCACTGTTCTCCCTCCCACTCCATTGAAAGAATCAAGAACCTAATTTTATACTATTTTTTGCTATTAATTTTTTTTACAATTTTTTGTGTTAGTGTGTTGGATACTGATATTCTTCATCTTCTGAGTACATAATTTTATAGCCTTTCATTACCATTAATAAGTAAACTAAAGATGTTTAAATGTCTAAAAGACATTTTACCTTGAAAAAGGGAAAAAGAGAATGCTGACTGAATTTTTGTTATGAAAATGCGTACTTGTTACAGATTTTTATTAATTTAGTATATTTTATATATACTCAAAGCCTCTATAATTTTTTTTCAGTTGCTTTTGCCAAGGATAAGCTACTTGACATTGGTAACAGACAAAGTGAAGAAACACTTTCAGAAAGTTATGAGACAAGAGGAAGTTAGTGAAATATGGTTTGAATATGAAGGTACACCACTGAAATGGTGAGTTTATTTAACTTTGTACCTTTATGCAGTTTGTCATGTCATGAGTTCCCAGGTTCAGCACAGTATCAGTACTTCTCCTGAACTAATCACTCCCTTGGGTTTCAAAGATGGCAAAAGAGGAGGAGGGTAAGAAAAGCATGTTGTTTGGGAAAAAAACAAAAGAAGATTTAATTTTATACATATAGTAAAATACGGGCAGAATAAAAACCAGTATGTTCAAGGCAGAGGTTGTTCTGTGCTTACCATTTTTGTTCTAGTTGTTAGTGTGACATGAAATGCCTGTGGTTTTGGCTTTGCTGTTTCTTGCAGGAGAATCACCAAATAAGTCTTGCTTTAACTTGTTCCACCTTCTTAAAATATGCCTAATGACACAGATAGGAAGTAGTTTATTTCTGGAATCTGAGTGCAAATAGGTTACATGCTTAAAGATAATAAAACATGTAACAGTTTTCACTGGTGTGATATGTGTTTGCGCTGTAAAACAGTCTAATACTGATCTGCAAGCTTTTGTTGAATTCAATTAGTTCAACTTTATTTTTGTTCTGTCATATAGTCTATTCAAACTGTCTTCTGTTGGGGTTTTGGGATTATGGGGGTTTTTTTGTGAGAGGTTAGGGAATCAGACTGACATTGTTTCATTTAATTAATTTGGTAAACACTGTTCATCAGATATTGTTTCTTCCTCTGTTGGGAAAGAGTTTTAAAGAAAATACTTTAAGAGCTGCAGTGTTTGCTAACTCTATATAGATAGCATCAGCTCTCCAGAAGGTATTTAGTATTTTGAATGCTGAAGAGATTTTTATCTCTTTTTATTTCCTGTATCATAACAGGAAAGAAAACTACCAGTGATGTTTTTTATCTTCTTGAACCTAGAGTGTCTTATGACAAGCATTACATTGTGGAGTCCCTGTAGACTTGGTGATATAGTAGATCTTTTCTAGTCTCTTTTTTCTTTGAGAGCAACCTTAGTGCCTTAAAAATATGTAAATAGAAAAAAGTATAAAAACTGCCTTTTTTACCTTTTTCATAACTGTCTGGCAAAACCAGTTTTAGACATCTATTTAAATTTTATAGGATTTAACAAGAATTTCTTGTGTGCCACAGTGACTTTGAGTTGTGGATACTGTCTAAATAAACAGCAAGGTACCAAGTTTTCCCTGGTTTGTTCATAATCTCAGATAGAAAATGGGAGGAAACTGTAAGCTTTCACTGAAATTGTAAAAAGAAATGAAAGAGAGGCTTTTTATATCAGTCAAAAATACAACTGTATTTTCTATAAGTTTTCAAATACCATGATGATTAAACTAGAATTAAAAAAATAATTGTAGAATAAAGAGTAAAATATAAATTATAATTCTAAAATTAAGTGATGAGTTAGTCAATTCATTGAACATTGAGATGGAAACGAATAGTGTAATGATGATCTGCTAATTAAGGCTCTGATCTTTGAGAAAAGCTCAGCGTATTCTGCATTTCTAAGGAAAATGCTACCTGTAAACCATTATTTTAGGAGAATGGTAATTCCATATATAACCAAAGCTTCTTCCAGGGAAGACCCAAATACCAGAACTGAGAATTAGATTGAGCTAGTAGTTTGTAGAGAAGGAATAGTGAGCATTAATGTTTAATATTTTTAGCTATGACTTCTGCATTCAGAATCAAATAGAACTTGTTAATAATCTTGCTTATTTTAATTATTTGCTTTTTATTGTGAGGTCATGTTGCTTACAGTCAGTGCAGTTTCACACCTGGTTGGGATGAAGTGTATCTCTGTTCAGCTGCAGCTCTTCTCTTTTCCAGTGAGATTTTTGGTGGAAGTCTGAAACATAGTTTCAACTTCATGGGCTGCAGCACATGGGCCAAGTTCCTGAAGGAGGAGGAAGCTCTCCAGGTCTGGAGTTACAGGGGCCTGGGGCTTCCCACTGAGATTGTTGGGACAGGGAAGATGGTCTCTTTGCCTGCAGAAGGTGTGTGTACTGGGGGGGAGGCTCTGTGTCACCAGGGTAAAGGGCTGCAGGGAGAGGTTACCAGACTGCAGCATTAGTGACTACAAAAGGAAATAGATCAAATCTCAGAGACCCTGCACCTACAGGAGCCTAAACCTACAATTACACTGAAAGAAATACAGGCAAAATCTGTGGTTATTGGATTAAAAGCGGTCTCCGAAGACATGGAAGAGCAGGAAGCTTATGAGTTCTGGCAACAGGAGGAAGGTTCCAGCGTAGATTCAGTTCTGGCTGCAGGTGAAGGACTGAAAGCCTTGTCCAGTGATGCATCTGATGTTGCTGAGCCTGAACTGTGGAGGGGCACCAGGAGGAAATGACAAAAATAAGTCCAAAGCCTGTATTCTGCTTATTGTCATTTCTCCAGGATTTTTAACTCTGCCATTTCATGGTCACTACAGCTAAAGCTGCCACTGATTATCATATCCAAAACTCTTTTGTCTTGTTAATAAGTAACAGATTCAGCTGTGGGTCATGTCTGGTCCATCCATCTTGACTACTTGTGTCTCACTGTCTAGATGTCGGAGATTAACATGAAAACAGTGTCTGTGATGCAGAACTTCTTGAGTTTTTTAAAGAAGACTTCTATCTATTTCCTTACCTGGATTGCATGATCTGTTGCCCTGACTAGTACCTCCTCTGATCCTGAACCACAAGAACTCAACCAACCTGTTGTCTGTCCCATTAAGTTTCATCCATCTAAGCTGCTCCCTCACATGGATGACAGCCCTCTGTCCTCATCTGCCCTGCATGTCTTTACTGAGCAGTTTACGTCAGTCCTTTCACAACAGTATTCCAGTTGTGCAAGCTGTCTCACTCCATCTCAGGCAGACCAGCACTATCACAGTTATGTTGCTGCATGTGGAACTCTAGTTTCTCCTGCTTGTTTCCCAAGCTGTGTGCACTTATGTAGACACAATTGTGGTAGGCTCTCTTCTACCTGCTTTTATCGCTTTGACATCTCCCTCGTAGCTGTCACTTTTCGTCACTTACTTTCAACACATGTCCATTAATTTCTGTTTATCTGTGGGGTTTTATTCACATTCCTGTTTTTTATGATCTAAAACTCTCCTTACCAGGCTGCCCAACCTGAAGGCAAAGATACTTGTGTCCCACTTAGGTGGATTCCATCTCTCCCCAGCATTCCTTTATCCCCAAAGAATGTCCTGTGTATGTAAAAGCCAAGTCCAGTTACTCACACCTCTGAGCCAGTGTCCTTTTATGGCAGAATTGTGGAGATGCCACCTAGCCTCTAGAGCTGTATAGTCACTTTTGATACACTCAGGAGTTCCCTTGCAGCACTTAAGATTTGTGCCCATGTGGGTGAACAGCAAGGACTAATAATCCAAACACAGGACAAACTTTGCTAGTCTGCAACTTCTTAACAAGCGACAGACCTCTGCAGGTTAACAAGTGAGGTTGGCAGATGGGGGAGAGCTCCCTCCTGTGTAGGATAGTCTCCTAGTACTATCACTGCTTCCTCTTGCTGTGGATGTGCTGTTCAGACAGCTTCCTCAGAACTTCCAGCTGCTTGTCTGCCATTGAGGCACTGATAGCAGATAGAGAAGGAGCCTGCCCTCTTGCCAGAGGTTAAGGAAACTTTTCTGTCTGACCATCCAGGATGGTGTGGCAGTCACATACTCGCACCACCTGAGCTGGGACCGAGGTCCCTTTGCAGCTGGCGTCTCCAGGGACCTGATGGGTGTCCTGTGTGACACACCCCACGTGCTCGCAGTCAGACGAGGTTTCCTTACTGGCTTGACCCTTGGCTTCCCAAAGCAGTCCCAGACGTCTGGATCCTGAAAATAGTTTCATCGTGGTGCCAACAACAGAATAACAGTTTGAGCTGGGTGCCTCTGAAAAGGTACCCCAAACAAAGGAAACCCTGGGCTTTTATACCCTCTTGGTGTATGTGTGCGATAGTCTGGGGTTTTCCTGCTGGGTCGTTGATTCCCGCTGCATCTCCAAGTGTCTGGTCCCCTGGCCACAGCCACAGGTCCCCGTGCCCTTTGCCATGCAAGGGCTTGGTGCCAGTTCCCGGCCTTTTGCTTTGGGCTCCCTTCACCCAGAGCTCAACCTGCAGCTGGCACTGCAGCTGTGCACCAAACTACCTGCACCAAATGTATTCCTCAATACTAGAGGTCACAAGACTCTGGTCTTCCCCATCTTTTGAGTCTCCGTTGACCACTCCAGTGACTGCCAACTCTCCTCCTCACCAAGTTCTCACCTCTGCAAGGTCTCAGTGAAGATGCCATCCATCTCTTTATTTTTCCTGGTGGTGTGCAGCCCACTGACCTCCTGCAGCTCTGTAATTTGGTGACATAGCTCCTTCACTAACAAGCACCTCCTCTAGGCAATGACATTTCCTCTGCTTACCTCAGCCCTCAGGAAAGGTCCCAAGCTCTTGTGGCAGCTTGAGACCTGGAGAGCTGCATCCTTTCTCAGGAGCTGTGCCTGAGCCACATGCTATTCTGATGTGCTGGAGTGGTTGCTTCAGCAGATGCTAGAGGTTGACACCCTACAGCTTGTTTCCATCCTATTTGAGCACTTGGACATGGCCTTCAGTGGAGCTTTTGTCCCCTTTCTGTGGATTGTATTCTAGCCCTGGATGCATAGGTGTCTCTCTTGTACCAACTGGGTGGATGACTGACCCTTCCTATTCTTGAATCAGTGGAAGACAGAAGGTCAAAGCACCATTTGATCAGGCATCTATCAGCTGTGCAAAGCACAGGGATTTTACTGAAAACATCTTGATTACATGAACTTCATTATGTAATCTATACTGGGTAGAAGATACAGAGGTAGACCAAGACCTGATGCAGGCATTTTTGTGTGGGCGTGGGGTTTTATTTTGTTTTTGTAGTTATCTATTCTATTGTATAGATGGAAAGTAACTGGAAGTAATTGTTCATGTTTGTGAAAGTTTGTGTTCATCTTATTATCAAAAGAAATCTGACTTTTGTTAGTTAACTTGTCTGAAAAACACTCTTTCATGGAACTCTTGCTGAATCCCTATTAAGGGACATGATTAGCAGTTAGTAGTAAAAAGTCTTGTGGTAAGAACTTGAACGTTAACAGTGAATCAGGATAAATCTGGATATGTGCTCTATTGTTTGTTCTCGTGTAAGTTCAGGAATTGTAGTAGTTTTTTGGGTTTTATTTTGCTGTTGTGGTGAATTTGTCTTAGCTTTAGGGTAGCTCACCTGCAGAGGGTGCTAAAGCACTGCTGTGTAAGAATTTAACTGGTCAGGAAGCTGGCTTGGCACAGGTGCTTTTAGAGCAACACTCTTGGTTATTACTCTCCAGAGTTTAAAACTTATGTATGTGCTTGGTTCTGCGCCCTGTGCTCAGTCCCATTCAATTCAGTGAAGCTACTGAGTTTACACTTAAGCGTGTGTTTATCTCTTTGTGGGATGAAAAGCTAGTAAGGCTCTTTTAGTTATGATTTTTGAAAGATAACAGAATGGAACTTGATGTGCTAAAAGAAAAAAAAATTATCAAAAATCTTGCCCTTGTCTGCATGTGAGAAAACTGAAGGAAGAGCTTTTTAACCAGTGCCTGTAGAAGTTTTGTGTGTGTGAGATTTATTCCTTATACCTCTGGGGGCTGTATCTTCCAATGAATTTAAAGGAGAGAAAGCTATAAACCAGAAGTGAATACTTGGAGGAAGCAAGCTTCTTTATGTAGCTCCTTTAATCTAGAATACCACTGAAATACAAAATTCCAATTTATTTTTTTTCTTCCCCTTTCATTCTTTTTAATTTGATAATAAAGATATAGAGTTCATATTGATCTAACCTCTTTCAGCCCTTTACAGATATGTCATTTTTTCACTTTGTTGCTTATTCTCTACAATGACATCAGGCATGTGAGAGGGGGAGAGGATGTTAAGGGACTGTGTGGTGTAAACCCAGGGCACTGAAATATCTGAAAGCATGTAGGCTTTTCTGTCAGACCAACTATTCCTGCCACTGTTACACTTTTTAACTAGAAGTTCTGTTTTGAAGGGTTCCACAGAGCAGCTGTAGGCCATGTAATGCTGTTGCAAAAGTAGCAGTGTTTTGTGTCTACAGCTTGGAGACCATGGGTTTAGATATTGAACATGTAAATTCCAGGCTCAATTCTGCCAGAAACTGTTGGTCATTTATACTTGCCTGTATAATTTTTCTGAATAAGCAATAAGTAATGCTAAGTGTGGGATTCAAACGGCTAGTTTTTTTTTGTGTAAATGCAAGTATGTTAACTGTTATATGTAGAATTAAATTCACAGTGTCTATATTAAATTAATATCTCGTCATTTTTAGGCATTATCCAATTGGTTTGCTGTTTGATCTTCATGCATCAAATACAGCCCTTCCTTGGAGCATCACAGTACATTTCAAGGTAAAACTGAAATACACTCTTAGTTAAGAATAAGTGAGCATAAGATTGCATGAAGTTTGGAAGCTAGGAAAAGGTTTCATAATTATTTTATAAAATAAGTGAATGTTCATTCTTCAGGAAGTGCATAAAGCTTTCTGTAAATCTGCAGTTGTTTTCCATGAGACTGTGTGTGCTTTCATGACTTTCCTTACAAAATTATCCCGTTTTTTGAAAATCCAAAAGTGTTTTTCACGATAAGTTATGAGACAATGTCAGTGCAATTAAGTAGATAAAAGAGAACTTTCCATAATGTTTTTTATTCTATCATCTGGAGTTGACTGAAGATTGGGAAGATTGAGAAGTGCTCATCCTTTTAGGCATATATGAGCATGGATATGAGATACTGTAGAAAACCTTAAAGTCAGGGAATGCTGCTGTACTTCATGTTGGTCCCTTTTAGAGAACTGAGTGAAATTACTTTCTTCTTGTGGCAGCTTAGTCACAAGAGAGACAGTATTTTGATTGTACATTGTAAAACCATTAGGTATGACTTAATTGCACTACTGATCTTTGTTCCGAAAGGTACTTGAGCAGGGCGAGCTTTGGTGCAGGATTCTTGCATACCCTGAAATGCATTGAGACAATAATTCTAGGTATGTTTTGAATTCAAAAGCACAACTAAAAGTCATGGATATTTAATTTTGAAATGTTAATTTCTCCCTTGTAAAAGAAACAATACAGTAGGAAAACTGATCTGAAGGAAAGTGCTAGGTTAATAGGCTTGACTTCAATGTGTGAGAGATTTGAGTGAAATTAAAAATGTACTGGGAAGTAGTTGTTTTGAACGTTTTCGTTCAAACAATTATTCTCTTCAAGGTGTGTTAGAAAAGTTTTTTTTAGCTGTAGTCGTATTCTTTTTGGAAGTGTACACTAAAATCATACATTCTTATTATATGTATTTCTACATGTTGAAATTTTTAAACTGACTAAATAAATCTGAAGTTAGGGGTGTTTTTGAAACCACTGTAATTGCTGCACTTCTGTGTGGTAAATGTCAGAAACCTGGGATGAAGTAACTTCCAGAGTGTTCTGAAGAAAATGTAGGGCATCTAGTTTCATAAATCATGATTTATTGTTATGTTCTGAGAGCTCTGGCCTATTAACAGTGGCATTGTGTGGATGTTGCCATTGCAAAGTAGAGGCATCTAGAGAATTAAGTTGCAGCACCACAGCTTCTCAATTTCATCCAGTAATGTAAATTGATTTTAATGTCCTTATATTGCTGCTTACCAAAAGATCAGCTACTTTAAGTTTTTCTCAAAGGTGTACATTAAAGATCAACAGAAATAATTTACTGCTAAGGCAGTGTTATTTTAAAAGCTGATGTATTTTAGTGATATAATACCTTGAAGTTAGCACCTGCATAATTGCTCTTCCCATTTTGATGTAATCTGAAAGTTTATTTAAATAACCCCCTCTTAATCCCTAAAGTCAAAACATAACTGAAATATATCAAAATATGTCAAAATATTGACAAGGTTTACATGTGTTACAATTTCTTACAGCTGAATAGTTTAGCTGTGGGATTTCTACCTAGATTATTCTTTTAATTTCTGTGTAGTTGTTCTTCAAAGAGTCATAATTTTCATTTGGCTTAATTGAACAGTGTTAAATTTTTCTGAAGTTTGCTTTTGTTGTCATGGTTGTCTCCTTTCTTCTACCAAAGCATGCAGTCAACAACAGATAACTCAAACATCTGTAAAGAGTGTTTTTCAGCTTTAAAAAAAAAGTCAAACTCCCCCTATCAGGTTTCTTTGTTTAAAGTTCAAAACATGAAAAAGGTTTATTTCTATTCAGCAGAAGTTTGGAAGTTGACGGATGCTTGTAATTGTCCTCCTGTGTTATGTATGCAGACCAAATAATAAACACACTTAGTCTTTGCATTGAAGAATCAGTTTATTATTTTGTTCTTCAAGTATGCAATAAAATAACATGCATTTATATCTTGTAAAGTTGAAAAACAGTTGCATTAAGTAGTTGCATAAGGATGAGCTTGAACAGCATACAGTCTGAGAATCATGAGAGGCTATAGACTGGGAAGTTGCTTTTTTTACCCAGGTGTGGCTTTAGGGGAGGAGGGAAACTCTGTCCCTTCCTGTTAAAATCATCTCATGTTACTCTGCAGCATGCTGAGCACTATTCATGTTCTCAGTGTGGCAATCAACTCTCCAGATTTTGGGCAGTAGATAAGAAGTGGTGAACTGTTCTGGAAATAGTAGTACTACTGGAGAAGAGGAAACTGGGTGTGCCAGGGGAAAGGCTGATGTTCTCCTGCTGCTGAAGCCCTTATCTGCTGGTGCCTGTCTCTCCACCCATGACCTGATGTAGAGGAGGAGAGACTGCATCTGTCCTTACATAACAGCTATCATCTTGGTTTTTTTAGGTGAAAATTGGGTTGGGTGGAGTGAAGAGGAAGTACTTTTCCATGTAGCATATGGATAAATTGTGGAGCTGCTAGGAGATATTGCGGAAGCTAGAAGTATAAATGTATAAATTTTGAAAGAAAAGACCACAGATGGTAACTAAACACAGATACATGGATGCTCTCCCTGCCACTGGATACATTCCTTGTGGTTTTTCATGCCCTGTTTTCTGTAAATGTAGTCTAATGCAACTAGACTGTCACAGTATAAACAGATGTTTTGTTAACTAGAACTGATAGATAAATATGGGTGGAATGGAGTTGTGAAACCAGACTGTTGAAATTGCCTGTGAGGTTGTTCAACCATTTTATATGAGAGGTCATTTAGTGCTCCTGTCTGTACAAATGATACCTATTTCTTTACGACCAGTTCATGCTGCAAGTGTCTGCTTGTATGTGAAAATAAAAACCCGTGCTCATTGAGATTTTGAAGAAAATTGAAGTCAACCCTTGGTAACTTTTCTTTCAAAGATACAGAACGTGGAGGGAGTAAGACATAACCAATAAGAGTACTTGAATTAAAGCTGCTTATGTCATCTCTTAAAACTTTTTGCAAATCTCCTAGTTGTAGAGCCAGGGGTGGCTATCAGCTTGTTTACGATTGACCCTTTCTTCAGGGAACAATTGATCACTGTTTCCTCAAGTAGAAAGAAGGCAAGGAGAATTTAGAAAAAAATAAAATACAAGCACACGTGATCTGTATATAAGTATAAAACTTATTATTCTATGCCCTGAATTATAAATCAGTGGGGATGCTGTATTTTCTGTTGATAGTCTCACGTAGATGAAACTGTTTCATATGCTTCTTGTAGACGCAGCAGGGTTTTTTTTCTAAGTTATCACTTTCATATTTAGGTTTTTCAGCTTCTGCTTACAGTACTGCACAGAAATGTGTCACTGCTTTCCTACTAAAGAAAAGAGTAGACAGCACTGAGATTCTTTCTAGGAGTGTTTTTGAGCCTTTCACAGTGTTACTCCTTAGAAACTAGGAAAATTAATCATGCCACACCTAGTTTTACGCCTGTGGCTAGATTCTTTACACTAGCTTAGCTAGCTCTGACCAGTTTTAAATATATCCTTGTTATTCTGCAGACTACACTGTGTATGATTTCTGGAACCCACCCCCAGAGACTGAGATTTCCTGCAATTTGAAATTCATTGGAAGAAAGTCACCAGGAAGATATCTACTTGTAGAAAGAGAGAAATGTCCAAAATAAGACCCTGCAGTTCAATATTTAGACATCTGTGCAGCAAAACAGTCCTTGTAACAAAACTGTTGTTTTCATAAACTTAGCTTAACTGTCAGCTTTTAACTATGAAAGTAATTTTCTAGGTTCCTACATTTCTTGGCATTAGGTATATTAGATTTCTTCCATTTTTTTTGAAAGATGCCAGTGTCTCATTTTGAATTCTTGCATGTAAAGAACTTTTTTGATCTTTTAAGTATGCTATTTCTGTCTGTTCGTTTCTTGTAGATTGGTTACCAGACATTACATTTTTTATTTGAGCAAGTAAAGTGAACTTCTGAAAGTATTTTACAGGCCTATGCAGATGTCAATTGGAAAATAACAATCCCAGTAATGTTTTTCTAGTAATCTTGGGCCCAATTATGCTGAGACATTCAGCTTTATAGGATAAAATGGGAGTGAGGTCTGCCCTAGAAGAACTTTCCTTATTGTTCTGTCCTGTTTAATGTCTTTATACTTGGCCATTCTCATATGAGAAACCAGATTTACCTCTGTCCTTAGATTTCTAGTCAGCTTAACATACATTGGTCCTAAGTAACAACAGCGCTCCCTTTGCTACTTCAACACCAGACCACATAAACTTTAGTGGAAAAGAGACTAACAGTCTTCTCTTTGCTTTATGGCCCTGTTTTTGGAGAATAACCTTTTGATCCGCAGTTTCCCGAGTTTGGGTTCATAAGGAGAAATCCCTATGTAAAATTCAATTATTTAATTTCCAACTCTTTTCAATAACCTAATCAGGAGGGAACTATCACTGTTGTCCTCAGAACTTCCTTCAGGAAAGGCAGTCCTCAGCTCCCTTTCACATTGCCTACTGGTAGTGAGTTTTTCATATTTCGGGTTCCTCTATTTTGAAGCATTTTTCACTATTTTTTCCTGGGTTTATGTGGAGGAGTGAAGGTATGGGGTTTTTTGCAGTGTTACATTGCTCCTACTGCAATGTGTTAAATATGTTGTAAAGGCTTTTGAAAAATATCCCATTATATGTACTTATATTCCAAAATGGTTTTGACAGTCCCTCACAAAAGCTTTTTGAAGTGCTAATTTGTAGTGGATTAAGAGGAAAGGGCCTCTGGTGGAATAGGATGAGAATTAAAGTATAAAAATGTGGCAAGCCCTTGTTATGGAAGGGAGTACTGATGATGCCACCGCTCTGTTTTGGCTCTGAGGTTTGCTCAGTTCAGTATGATCATAAGCAACTGTGAAAATAAGATGAATAAGAAGGGAATAAAATAGACTGGGTTTTAAAACTTGTAATAACTAAAGGTAATGGATTTGTGGTAATGAGTATTTATGTTATTATAAAAACGCAAGTGATAGTAAGTGATGATAAAAGAAAAGTTAGAGGAAGAACAACCACAACTGTATGCCTTTACAGTGCAGGACTTCTGATCAGTTAATTTCCAAAGAAATATTTTTAGTACCTGAACAAGATTTACTACTATAATTCCTTAATAAATTAATTAGGAGAGGTAGTTGTCATTTACTGAGGGGATAAGAGTTACGTGAGGAATGGTAGCTGTGCATTTGTGATGCTGAATGCAGTGTACCAGCCCTAACTAAATAAAAGGGGTATAGAATCAAGTCACAAGAGCTAGCAATAGTCACATGGATTAGGTAAAGTTGGAGCTGACAAGGATTTCCAGTATCTCTCAGGAAAAATGTTTGTAAGTGGAAATATGCTGTAGTTCATATATGTGGATGATACTACTTGGAGGAAACATTTTTCAAGGGCCTACATAGAAAGGGGTGATAAACTACCACTGAGAGTCAGTATGAATTAGATGCTTGTCATTTACTTCCCCCCATTTTCTCCTGTTTGTTGCCTGAGAATTGAACATCTGCTTGAAAATATGTTAAAATTCTGTTTTTACAGAAAATTGTTCAGCTTTTATTTTTCCTGAAACATTTTCACTGCGAACTGTTTCTTTTCAGCAGAGTGGATGGTTGTTACATTCTTCCAATAAAGTAGAAGATTCCAGTATGCTTCTTTTGCATAAATATATGCCTGTTTTAAATTATCATTTATTCTTCATCATCCAAGATATGTGATGCAGTTATTTCTCTTGATCTATCATTTCTCTTTGTAGAATTTTCCAGAAAAGGATCTTCTACACTGCCATTCTAAGGATGTGATTGAAGCTCATTTTATGGCTTGTATAAAAGAAGCAGATGCTTTAAAGCACAAAAGTCAAGTCATCAATGAGATGCAAAAAAAGGATCATAAGCAACTGTGGATGGGGTTACAGAATGGTAAATACAACACATCAAGTATTAATTATATTTAAGTCTAGCAAGCTAATAAATATTTTTTCAAATTGGAGTTGTGCTGGGGGATATAAAATGTCATTGTTCTGCAGAATTTTTATCTAATGTCATGGAAAGCATTGATAGTTTTGGTGGTTTTTGTTTGTTTGTTTGTGTTTGTTTGTTTTTTGTTTGTTTGTTTTTTTAACTAAAGTCGTCATTTTGGTGATAATTCAAATGTGGCTTGAGTTATTCGAGGAACTAGATTGGGTTGTGACTGTTTTAACAAACCAGAATTAGGAAAAATCAAAATAGATAAATGTTGTTTAACATACTTTTTGGGAGACACTTGGTGTGTTACGTGCTCAGTATTAGCGATCTTGGACCATAAAGAAGAGATTGTCTCCTAGAGGATTTTATAAAAGTGTTCTTATTTTGCACAGATGGCATGAATCTGTATTGCAGTGCAAAATAAAACTTCTTTTGTTTGTAGTGTCTTCCCTTGTTATGATTCTTAGAGTCCTTTAAATTGAAAAGCTTTTGTAAGTATTTCAGAAACTGCTCTGTAGAATGGGTGCTAATGCCACTTTCATTGCATTTTTCTCATCCCCTGAAGCTGTCATTTGTTATCACTAGTAAATTTATTTAATGGTAACATTTTACTGTAAACATGAAGGTGTTTATTCTGTGTTCTGATACAAAATACTAAATGCTTAGAATTAACATATTCCCATGTGTGTATAAGAAAGATTAAATGAAACAGAAGAACCTTTGAATGCAAGAAGACTTGAATCATGCATTTGCTTTAGACAAGGAGACTCTAAGGTAGTTTGGGTTTAATGTGTGTATTTAGTGAGTGGGGGGGTTTCTTTTTTTTTTTTATTGTTGTTTAGTGGCATTGCCTTTCATATGGAAGTTGAAATTATCACTTCTGTGATAATTTTGGAGATGAATGCTTATTAGAAACTCTGATTTCTATTTTCTTATTTAATTGAGTAAGAGTTAGAAATTGTGGGATTATCTTAATTTGCCATTTGAGTGGTAAGATCTTGAGGGAGGCCATACATACCTGCAAAAACTTAGCAAGTAAGAAATTACACTTTATCTAGTTCAATTCCAAGTACTTCTTGAGAGATTCTGTATTGTATAAGTACTAGTCAGCAAACTGACTGATAATATGTTCACTTTTGTGAATTAACAGTAAATAAGAGTTTTGGTCCAATGAAAGGCAGAATCAGTATAAAAATAGATATTTCCCTAAAGCTTATGTCATTACAAGTCAATTTAAAATGCAATTTTAATAATGCTGTAGAAAAGAAGTATTTTGTTATAATAGTATTTGTCTTGCAAGCAGTTTAGTTTGAGGTGCAAAATGCTATGTAAGCATAATTTTGTTTTCTATTTAAAAAATTATTAGCTTTATTGCAAAAAGAAATTCTGTCACTTTGTCCCAGTACTCAGGTGTTCCAGGCAGTGCGTTTTATGTGCTCTTTTTATTAATACTTTTTAAAATGAAGGCTAAAAGACCTCTAACATGAGTTACACTGTGAGTATAATGAGTTACAAGATGAGTATAATAATGACTGACATGATGAAACAGTACGAGTTAAGATTCTTTTCTTAACCAGAAGTTATAGAACCTTGATACTCTCAATATGTAAGGTAAAATGACAGATACACAGCATGGTTTTTTCCATGCTCATCTTAGGCTATATCTTTTAGTTGATTATTTGTCTAAGAATATCTTCAGTTGTACGGAAACCAGAATTTTTCTGTTTTGCTCTATCACGTTAGGAACAGAGGTTGCCCAGCAAGGTTAATTTCAAGAAGGTTTCACTGTACTTAGTAAGAAATTGCACCTGTGGAATCTGACACGTAAATGAGAAGTTTAAGCAATGTTTTGAATACTTTCAAATGCTAATTTTAATTTCTCAACTCTTCATAAAAGAGAAACAAGAAAAGCTTGTGAAACCAAGAAAACTCTTTTTAAGTATGTTGTATCTTTCAATATGTTCTTATAGGCTTTTGTTTGAGATGTTATAATTTTAAACTCCTTTGTGAAACAGAATGAATGACCACAAAAAAGAAAAGAAAGTAGCATTTGTGATACCTGCTTTGTAAGTAAAGATACATCTGCAGGTTGTTTTTTCTGTGAAACTTCAAACAATTTTCTTCAGTTCTTAAATATAGGAACTGTTATTTGTTTAACAAGTGATAGCAATACTTACAGCATCTGTTAAACTTAAATTTTTGGGGAAAAAAATCCAATTTTGCTTATTTGGAGAAATGTAACTATCAATTAATGTATAATTTGGTATAAATGTTTCTGCTGAGAAGCAAGTACTTGAACAGGGTAGCATGTGAAACTTAACAGTTTGCCTCTAGATGGCTTTTAAGGGAAGAGCTGTAGTAGTGAATTTGTGGGAAAATCTTGTGCTGGTAACAGCTGGTAGTTATTCATAACAACCTTTACATCCCTCCTGCTGCCATTTCTGGTTTTGTGTTATCTGCTACCAAATTAGAAAAGTAAACATACTCTTCTATCTTGTGCTGTGTTTTTTCTTGTTCTTCAGACTTCAGTTAGCCTATTTTTGTCCATAAACCTGATATTTCTTCACTGCAACAATTCTTTGGGACAGGTACTTTTTGACCAGTGTCATGGATGTGTGACTGTGGTAGGGAAGTGATAAAAGCAGACTATATATCTGTACTGACCTTTGTTCCTGTGTAAGAATTGTTAAAATTCTTTGGTCAGAATTCATGGAAAATGTTTCTGCTGTTTTTTCTTTAATAGAGTTATGGCCATTTTTATCGTGGATAAAGAGGATTTTCAAGTGAGTGTTTTCTTTTCTTCTTGCCTTTTGAGTGGAAAAATAAAGGCTTTCAGCTTTGAAACAGTAAGACTCTGTGGGTCTACTGATGACTCAGGATCAAACAACTGAATTCTCCACTGTTTTTAGGGGGAGAACTGTATTATTTTGCACAGTTCAAAGAATTAGTATCTGTAACTTCAGTATATAATGGTTCTGATAAATGAGGGAATTTAGATTGAACACATCTGCTTTTTATCAGTTGTGGAGCGACATAAGCAACCATAGTCTGAAATTTTCACAGGCATCCTTTATGACCAGTGAAGACTAGACTTGGTATTTCTGATACATGAGTGGGGGAAATAGTAAAAATTCATAACAACTTTAAGTCTTCTTTTATATATTATAAAATATAATTGAGTCATTACTGAAAATACTATGGAAAAAGAATGTAATGCTCATTCATGCTGTAGGGCTTACCAAAAGTTAAGTGGCCATATTGAATTGTTCTTGCTAAAGAAGAAAAATCCTGCAAGCATTCAGAATGTAGAGTATTTTATCTTTTAATGCATGAGATCTCTTTCTTGTCAGGCAGAATCAGTCCTGTGTCTTGATTTTAGTTCTAAATTTTATCTAAACTATTCTTGGGTTTTTGAGAGGCAGAAATCGTCTTTCTTCTGGATTGTCACGTTCCTGTTTAGAAATGTTTGAACTGAGAAAAAGGAAGTGTCTTACAATACCAGCATCTCTAGTGCTATGTACACATGGCTCACTCAAGTTTGAACTCGCTGTTCTTTACCTCATGATAAACATGCTTTGGTAGCTGAACAATCTCAACTGATCATTTGAAAATTGATTTAAGCACTATATGCTTAGAAAATCCTCAGAAGTTTATCAGAAGAATGAACGAACAAGCCATTAGTTTTTAAATCACAAAGCCATCTTTTTTTCTTCTTCCTGTATTGCTACCAAAATGAGAATTTCTTTCTGTGTTCCATCTGTGGAGGTTTGGTTAACTGTGAAGAAAGATTAAACAATTCTTTTGAGCTTTGAAAATGGTTGTATTGATTAAAAGAGGTTTTTAAAAAAGATCATTGCCTTCTTGGGCTGGTAGTTAAAAATTTCTCAAAATGCATCATATCACCTTATAATTAGCCTCAGTGCCTGCTTTTCCTGGAGTTAAAATATTATGGCATACACACAGCATCGGTTTGCTGATGTTATGGAACTGAGGAGGTGCAATGTAGACACATTCAGATAGCTCTGCACAAAGTCAGCCTGGTGCTGATTTGGTGCTGAAGAGGGGCTGGATTTGGGCAGGCTGGACCTGCAGAATGAACAGCTGTGTCAGAACAGGCCTTCACATGGATGTTTTTGTTTTTTTCTTTTCCATGGCAGTGGGTTTTGTTTAGGGTTTGGTTGGTTGTGGTGGTTTTTCTGGTAATGGATTGTGACCTAAACTTAACTGTTAGTTCATCAGTGTTTACTGGCTTGTTATCCTTTCTGCACAAATGACTAAGCCAGTGCTCCACCGGTATGGGTGCAGTATCAAGAGTCTGAACTACCATCCCCCCAAAACTGATTTTTGTCTTATTACCCTGCTGTGCTGGCTTGGTGCCTACTTGCATAGCTGCCCTTTGTTGCAGTGCAAAGGTGGGGAATTGATGTCAGCCTGCATTCCCCCCTCAGCTTTCTCTTCTCTGCTCTCAAGCGAGGGCAGAGCAGGGCTGCTCTCTTCGAGGGTATTGAGAAGCAGTAGGTGTCAAAGGAGGACGAGAAGTGCATGAAGGCAGAGAAGGGAGGAAAGCAAAAGATAACACAGCATTCACAATCCTCCTTTATACTGAAGTCTCTAACATGAGCAGGTTGCCTAGACATAGGTAGACAGAGCTAGATGCTTTCTAGTGTTTTCACCATCTTACGTTAGATGTCCATGCGTCTAATGAAAACCATTACACTCGGAGGGAGCAAACTTGGAGGTTTCTTTTTATTGCCTCCTGTTTTCTTTCCTCCTCTTAGCCTCAAAATAAGTCATTTCCTGCAAGATATGTTAAGGTCTAACTAAAATTCAAAGTTAAATATCTGTAAAAAACAGACTTTACTTTTAAAATTGACATTCTTTAGTTATTGAGGGGCTTTTGTTTTGCAGTTTAAAATGCTTCTAAGTTACTTTCTACTAGTACACTCCTGAATTTG